AGCATTTCTTTTACTAATGAATTCAAATACATAAATAATTTAATTAATTTAAATATATAAGATAAAAATTATTACTATTGCGCTTCTAATATTCATTTTGTTTTCTTTTATTTACAATAAATAAATTAATTTTTAGTGTTAACAATTTTTATATTTCATATTATACACAACACAACAAAAAAACATATGTCATAAAAAGCATTTAACATATTTTAAGAGTGATGCCAATATCTTTTAATCAGACTTTATGCTGTTTTTTTACAAGTCTGAAAGAAAAAATTACGGCAAATGTTATTACTTATAATTAACTAGGACAATGGATTTTTTAGATTTTGATTCAAATTTAATCCCTAAATACAATGTCATAAGTAAAATATAGTCATAGTAAGTGAGTTTATTGTGTAAATATTTACTGTACATATTTAATTGAATTTAAATGTTATCCAGAACCGTAATTAAGTCTTAATATTAGAAAAATTTCAGATAAATGTAATTTAAAATTATATTCTAACTCTGACTTACCTGTGTTCCTTAACAATTATTCATTGAATCATTCTTGCGATCCTTTATCTTAGATCCTAAATAATAGGAAACGCTTATTAATGATTGTATACAACTTAAATTAATCAAATCAAATGTAGAACATTTTATTTATATCTATAACATCAAAATTATAATAAATACATTTTCTGTCAAATATCTTAAATATCAAAAACATGATAAATACAGTTACTGTTCTTATTATTTGAAGCATAATCGAGAAATGTTCTAAACAACACAATGCAATTTAAATCTGAAAGAACAACAATTTTTAATAATAAATTTTCTTTACATAGCCGCGGTTTATGCGTTAGTTTTAAAAATAATAACGTAAGTACTCTTGTTTGAGAAAAAACGAACAAAATTTGAGTAATGCAAGTAAAGTATACATTAGCTTTGTGTAGTACATCACAAGTTCACAGTTCGAATTTAACACTGATCTATTGCTGACGCTCGCAAACTGAAAGATTATAGACGAACAAATAAAGCAATAGATTTCTCTAGAGACCACTAATGGTCTTTTAGCTGATCTTCGAAACAGCTGTGTGGTCAGCCCAAGAATTCACGATTTAAAAATTAAAAAAATTTTGAATTTAAACATTTTGTCACCAATATTCTCTTTTATTTTATTCAAAATATAATTTTAATCATAGGACAATAATAATTTACTATTATTATTTAAATTTTATTTTATTTATTTAATTTAAAAATTTAAATAAGAAATAATAAATTTATTGTTTCACCTAATCGTCTCAGGCAACTATTATTATTCTTTTACATCACTACTATATTATATTATAAATATGTATATATTATATTAATATATGTGTTATATATTCTTTTTTATTATATTAAACATTAAGAACATAATTAATTGTAAGACATGTAAGTTTTTATATACTTTTCAGTATCATCATTTTCAAAATATTAATATTATAGCCTAGCTATATAGTGCTCCATTACAGCGCTATAACACATTTTGGATAAAGAACGTTCTATTTTGTTGTTGGTGTGATTGTGTATTTAAAAATTTAATTGCTTAATGGGTTCAATTGCTAACACTCGAAGTCGAAAGATTATATACCTATGTACAATTAAACTAATAGATTTTTTCAGTAGCCACTGATGATGGCTGTTGTAAGGTTCATCCCAAATATTCAATTGATTAAAAATTAAAAAATTGTTCTGGATTTGAGAATTTCCGCAGTATTAACGCCACTACAACAGTGCTAACATATCAGTGCTTACTAGAATATTGTACGTGCTGGTGACTTCAAAGAGGAGGAAGAATCCACTTTCATTTAAATGGGGGACTATGCTTATAACAGCTGCATTTTTGGTAGTAAATAGAATGTTATTTATTTATAATACCATTACATAGGGCTGTTAAGCGTGATAAGTCCAGATTAAACATGATTTCATTAAAATTCTAAATACTATTCAACTAAAAAGAGGAATATATGGAAACTTATTTAGGCACTTTGTATAAAATATTATTAACATGAGTCTTCAAAAATATTGTTAAAACGAAATTATTAAGAATTCTTAGGACTTAACTTTGTTGCTATTAATTGGATTAACATCAGTGGCCTTGGGATTACTATCTATATTTGATTATTCGTAAATAATTTTTTGAGACTGCAGGTATCAAGGGTTGCCAAGGGTATTTGGTAATACTCGAAACATCTATATGGACAGCCAAAAATAATTAAAATTAATTAAAATAATATGAAAATAATGTTTGTTGTCTTAGTTCACCACTTTTCAAAACCTCTCTTTTAAATACCACAGTTTCTATTAAAGAAAATATTGTCATTACTGTCAAAAATTAAAATTTATTCTGTTGATAATATTAATAAAAATAATACTTTTTAAATTATAAATCGATAAATCAGTTTTAAAAAATTATTATTTAAAGAATAATAGAACTGATAATTATTTAACATTTTATATGTATAGAAAATAATAAGCAGAACCATAGAGATATAGTATGGGTACGATTTTTGGATACTTATATTTTACAACAAGTTTTAAAAAAGTCAGCTCTTTTTTCCACACCACTATATATAAATATACAATAGTTTTTGAGATATGGTGCTTAAGATATGGAAATTTGTACATGGGAATTACATACAGCAAAGAGATAAGTCAGTTGCTTAAACTAGCCTAAGCCTAGATATAGTGTTGATATAATAATTAATGAAAAAAATAACGAATGTATAACTCAATACCTTATATGGTACCTTATTATTAATCTTTATCGGCATATAGCGTTTTAAGACAATTGACTCAAGTACGATCCGTTGTCAGATGGGTATATGCAGAAAATTGGATTAGCGCCAACATATATAGTATATGAAATAAATATTATCTTCAAAACTAATTGAGTAAATATCCTGCAGTTTAAAAACAATTACCCATACTAACTAACATAAGTAATAAGAATTATTAAGTTTTAAACACGTATTTTCTATATGTAAGTTTAAAATTGAAAAAGAAAAAATGTTTATTGCGAAAAGTCGGTCTGACGATACTTAAATTGAAATATCTGAGTACGGAGCTGATTGCATGTGTAAGAAGTCATATTTTTTTATTGCTGTAATTAAAAATGAAGAACTCGTAATGCATTTAAGTAATTCTATCGAGTATTAGTTCTACCGCTTTGCTTTTTAGTGCTCTTATGGAATTTACAAAGAGCAGTTTGTACAAATATGTATTTACTTGTAAGTGCAAACAGCTTCAATGGTCTTGTGTCCTAGTGCAAGACTTCACTTCCTTTCGTTTCGTTCTATGGATTTATATTTATGTTTTTACAGGAAAAAAAAACAAAAACCTTGCTGTCTTTTTAAATGACAAACAAATCCTTAGCGTTGCTTAATTCTAATACGGACACATGCATAATGCCAGAGAACAAGGGCTTAGTGCTTGTTATTCAAGGCAGAGGCAGTGTGGCTCTGCTTAATGCAATGTGCTTGACCGTCTTAGGCTTATCAGTAACCCACACTTAATGGTAATGTACGTTAAGACTTCTCACTGGACGACCGACAAGGCATTATGGTGACTTGGCAACGTACTCCTCGTACATGGTATGTGCGAGTGGGAAAAGTGGTTCAGTTGGTAGGACCAACCAAGGCGCATTCGCTAACTGATGACGCTGTATAGTCATCATTTATGTTATCTTTATGTGCGCTGCGTGTGCTTTTAGTTACGTTTCGAACAAATGTCTAAGTGAGTTAAAAAGAATAAAAACAGGAAATAAAAGCAATGCAAAAGATAAATATGCTAAAAGTAAAGATATATTTTATGTTGACTTTTAGTTTTGTGATTTAATAGTGTCGCTACGAGTTTTTAACTGTCGAAATGCTCTTGACCTCTTTCGGAGTGAAGTACATTAGTTCATAGTAAAATTGACTATATAATAGAAAATATCGAAACCAAAAGTGTTTGTCGAAGCTGTTTTATTGACCACTTAACACTAATATCGAAATATCGTATGAAATTTAAATAAAACTTATGTAGAGTTTTTATTATTTTTGCTACGATTAAGTGCACGATTATTAGTAGTAGTAGAAGGTTTTAGAATAATACTATATGGTCCATTTAAATTGATATTTAAATGGCGGTTGAAGTCACGTCTCTGAAATACGTAAATGTGTAAATTATATGAAAAAATTTTAGAGTCATATTTTTGAATAATTAGTTTTTATTATTTATTATAATGACACATAATATTAAATAAATATATTATACAATATTAAATAAAAATGTGTCACTTAATGTTGCTATGTGAATAACCATTAAATGAAGAATATTTGAAATTCCTCACAAATTTAATTTGAATATGTATAATATTCATCACACATATGAGCCATATGTACATTTTATGCTTTCAAAAGTAAACGTAAGCAAAAAACAAAGTTTGTAATATATAAGTAATAATATTAAAATATTTCAATATGTCAATTTCAATCGATTATTTCAATATATTATTCAAATATCTCTACGGATCCCTACGGCACCTTATTGGCAACAACTTGGTCATAACTTAATGGATAACTTTACAAGCGTAGACGCATAAGAGTTTTATCCTTTATGTGACCCCACAGAAAAAGTCCAATAGATCAGTGGTGACAAATTGGATGATATTTGTATTGTAATATTGTAATGTGAAATTACATATTTTTTTTTAATTTCTTACGCAACACAACGAAAACAGAATGTCTTGATTAATTTATCAACAGTTTCCATAATATAAGCAAGTTCAATAGATATTAGACAAAACATATAGTACAGTAGCAAACCTTAAACTTATCATATTTTTTTTTTTTTTTTTTTT